TGCGGCCCCGGGCGGCCCGGCGCTGCTGCGCGCTGGGGCAGGGGCGGCGGCCGCGTGCTCAGACTTTCCAAAGAAATTTTAAACACAAGAAGAAAGCGCTCCATGCCTGCGGCCCCTCCAGGTTTTATTTTTATCGGGGAAAGTGCCCCTTGGAGTTTTTGAGGGTGGCCAAGGTTGCAACCCAGGGAGGAAACTTCCAACAGCCCCCACCTTTAATAAAAGTCTCCAAACGTCGCACTTTGTGTCAGGTCACCTTGCAGGGGAGGGAGCCTTCAGAGGTTGGCATGGGAGTGCTCTCTCTGCCCCTTCCTCCTCGACCTGGGGGACTTCTGCTGCCACTCAGACCTGACCTCCTCCAGGGAGCGTCCCCTGCTTCCTGAGGGCCCACCCTCTCCAGCTGGCCCTGCTCCGTCTGTGGCTCCCCCATGTACGCGTCTCTCTGAGCCCCCATTTATGGAAGCTTCCTGTCCCGTGACCAGGCTCGTGGGCCTCACTTTGCAGAGGGGCACGGGGAAGGGGCCTGGGGTTCATGCAGAGCTGCCTGCACTCCTCCTGTGTCGCTCTACTCCCTCCCTGAGGGAGGGACCGTGACTTGGATTGCTTTCATCCCTAATGAGCAGGCACCTGGCCCATGGGAGGTGCTCCCCAGGGGGGTTTTTAATCCACCATCCCCGCAGGAGGATGACACAAGTCTCCAGGAGCAGCCACGCTCAGGTGTAGCCCCCAGGGGCCACCCTGGCAACTCTGCCCAGTGGGAATAAAGTCTCCTTTTCCTCTGCCTCCCTACATCTTGTTAGGTCTTTGGGGTGTGCACCGAAAGCCACCTCCTCCAGGCAGTCATCCTGGATTGCCCCTCACTGAAGCACTTAAGCCCAAGGACCGGTCTGTACCTCGACCACAGAGCTTCCTTTACCCATTCTGCACTGGGTTCATCTACTCAATGCCCAATGGCTGCTTGTCAAACGGCCACTGAGGAACATTCCGGGCCTACAGAAGTGATCATAAAGCTGTCTTGCAAGGTGCTGATGCCATCAGCATGTCTTGGGTCCAAGGGTGGATTCTGGAATCAGACAGGATGGGGATGGGGTTGATGGGGTGGGGTCTGGCTCCAGCTCTGGCACCTTCCAGCCCTGTGATCTGGGTCAGGCGTCCTTAGCCTCACAGAGTCTGCGTCTCCTCCCGTGAGCGTCAGTGTGCGTGAAGCTGGGGCTCAGCAGCTGGCACGGGGGAGGCTGGGTGGTGGGGACCACTGTTACTGTCATCTTGTCATTGTTGTGACCTTCCCTTCTCCCTCACCGTCATTTAGGCTCAAGTTTGTGAACCTCTTGAACTTTAAGAGGTGTAGTAAGATTAGTTTGTCCTGGGGCGAGCCTTGCCAGTGGGCGCTGAGTGGCCCTCAAGGACCCTTTGTCTGCATCTTGGACGGCGAGTGCAGGTTTGGAGAAGTGTGCCAGGCCGGCCAAGTTCTCACCACAAACAGCCCTCCATGGCCTCTGCCACGCTGAGGCCAGTCTGAGCTTTCCAGGCTGGGAAGAATCACACCACACACACACACACACACACACACACAGAGGCATATGCACACACACACACACACACACACACAGGATTATGTAACTTCATTCTCTTATCCTTGTTGGTAAACAACCAAGATTGTGTAACCGTAATGCACTGACTTTCTAAATTTATTTTCAAGTGACAAAGGATCTTGCAGAAGTCTCCGAGGTAATGATTTGTGGAAAAAGAGCAAAACTGGTGATTCCTCAATTCCAGGTACCCTGGCATTCCCAAACGCCTGGACTGCTGACTGAGAGGGCTCTGGAGGGGGGGTGGTGCCTGAGCCCTTCTGGGAGCTGCTGCAGATTGGGGGACAATCCCTCAGGCAGGGCGGTGCCGACCTCCCTGCTCTGGCTTTGCCCAAGAAGCCGGTTTCACCTGCTTCTGTGATTTATGACTTAGGCGGATCCAGACACCAGCTTGCTCGTAAAGCATCACTTTCCCTGCTACGTATCGGTGCACTTCCTTGCTCTGCCCCTCTCCCTGTATTCTGTGTCCTCTTACCGTCCCCGAGGCTCCCAGGTGCACAGCGTGGAGACGCTTTGGCAGGCGGAGGGGACCTGCAGGGTGGCCTCTGCACAGAGCAGAAAGGACAGGCCAGCAGGGATGGATCCTATCCCCGGGGCACTGTGACCTGGGCTGGGACTGCGTGGGTCTTGGGATTTCAGGGACCAAAAAGTAAGAACAACATTCCCCCAAACCAAGGAGGGCAATGGGATTCTTCTCTGCCGAGCTCTCCCCAAAGTTGAAACTTTAAAGCCTCCCCGGTCTGGTGATGATTTCAGCTGCTGGTTTCCTGCCTCACGTCATCTCCTGTGGGCCATCCTGTCGGGACCGTGTCTCTGCTCGGAGTCGCTAATTGCTTCTAAACTGGCCCTCTAGAAATACTGTTGCATCAGCTTTGCCCTTTTTGCTTTTGGACTCAGTGATTCTCATCATTAAAACCCCAAAGGGACAGATCTCACCAAGAGGATTAATTCCCCGCTCATGAATGAGTAAAAACCAGCCTCATCAGTGTAAATGGGACATTTTATTATGGGAAGTTCTGGGCTTCATGGCTCACCCTACTTGCCACCGTGCTGCCCTCTCGTGCTATCGTGATGTTAGCCGCTGTTACGCTTTTATGTCTTTGCTGGCGTTGTAATAATCGCCAGGAGTACAAGCACAGGGTGACAAGGGACACAGGGGACCGAGCCACGAGAGAGCTCCCTTGTAAGAGGCCCGGAGGGCGCTTCCCAACATCAGTTTCCCCTCTTTGCCCCTGCCCACGAGAAGGAATGTCTCGCTCTCTCTGTGCCCTGGCCAGCTGCGCGTGCCCCAGCACTCCCCCGGCTGTCGGTGGCCCTGGCGAAAAGGTGAACAAACCAAGCATTAGAGAGCGGGGCAGGATGAGGCCCCCCGCCTGGCCAGGCCGTGGTGAGCCCCGGGTCAGGGATAACTCCAGCGACGGCCTCGTCTAGTATGGTGCCCCGGGGCTGGGCTTCTCCACGGCACTGACGTTTGGGGCTGGATCACTGTCCCGGGGGCCAGGCTGTGCCCTGTAGGATGGTCAGCGGCATCCCTGGTCTCTACCCACTCGATGCCAGGGGCACCTCTCCCTCCTAGAGCGACAACTACAAACGTCTCCAGACATTTCAGGTGTCCCCAGGGGGCAAAATCGCCCCCAGTGGAGAGCCACTGTTCTTGGGCTTACCTCCGGCCCCTGCCTGCACTCTCCAGGAAGACCCGGGAGGCTGATCTTATCGCCCAAATCCTCAGATGGGAGTGCAGAGGCCCGGAGAGGCGATGTGCCTGGCTTCAGGCACAGCCAAGAGGCAGATCTGGCTTTCCATCTGGGTCTCCTGACAGTCCAAACCAGGGCTCATTCCATGAATCCAACACACACATGCGTGCACGCACGCACACACAGAACTAGAGGGATAGGAGGTAAGAGATTTGGGTTTCACAAAATTCATAGGTGGCCCTGGCTACTCTCAGTTGGTGGAAGGGGTAGTATGGGGCACAGCCAGGCTGCGCCATCCCTGCAACAGGCCGGCTTTCTCCCCAGTACGGATCTCTGCACTCAGAGGTGCTAAATAAGGTGTTGACTCACAGGGGCAGCCGGGTGGGGAAGACCGCATGGAAGGAGTGAGCTGCTCATGAGTCAGGGCTATTGTGAGCTCAACGGCCCGGCCCTGCGCCCACGCTGGCTCGGCACCCCTGCGAGTGTCCGGCGGCATCCCCGCGTGGGGAGGACACGGTGCCAAACAGGTTTATGACCTCGTGTGCCAAAAGCACCTGGGGGTGTAACCTCCCCTGGGGGAGACAAGCCTGGGGGCGTTAAACCGAGCTAGGGTGGGCAGGAACGGGACTCCTGTCACTTCCTTCCCTCGCATGATGTCAGAACCCCGAGCAGCGGGCAGGGAGACTCCACGGGCATGGAAACCTCCAGCCCAAAGTTCCGGAGCATAGCCAAAGCATGAAGCTCTGTCTGGGGAATTTTTTTTTTTCCCCCAACGGAATCCCTGGGCGTTATTTCCTTCAGAGCGTTTTCAGATGCTTCGTGTGTTTTGCTAACCCATTCTTGCCCTCTGAGAATTCCTAAGAACCCAAAAAGCACCCCTGGCTGGGTTAGAAGCTGGCCACCTCAGCCAGCCGTCACCTCCTCCTGGAAGCCTCTCTGGTCCGGCTCTGTTCTGTTGTCCCTGCTCCCGGCTCCGTCCCGGCGCTCAGGCTCATTTCTGCTCCACGGTCCCGTCTTCTGCTTTATTTCTACCCTTCGCCCCCTTCCCATCCTTGGCACACCACAGATACCCCTGTGTGTGTTTATTTAACGAGCAGTGGTATAGCCCTTGCTATGAGCCAGCACCGTGCTAAGCTCTCTACAAACATTAACTCGAGTTCTTACGGTGATTACAATCATCTGCAAGTGGATTCACAC